AACAAATACATGACATGGAGATGACTTTTTGACTCCACATTGCCCATGTCTGGCCAGAGTATCCAGAGAGAAACCATGCATGCCAAGGGAGAACATGCAAACTCCATGCGAAATCCATAGGAAACAAGTTAGAAGAACTACTAAGGTCCCCGCCAGAACATCACCAATGCAGTTCTTTTTTTACTAAAACATGGATACAGGACCATATCTCCATCACCTGCCTCCCTCTGCGAGGCTTTCTAACTACATGAGCAGACACTGTTGGTGGCTCTGCAAGCAGTGTTATCTATCACAATGTTGCTAAGCTACAGAAGCAACAGCCAAATGCATTTATGACAATAACAGGTAATCAAACCTCTCTCCCTGCTACACCAATGATCCAAATATTTGTCGGCTGCTATACAAGAGAAAACAAAACTTATGATATGTTGTATGCAAATGAAGGGCCTACAGTGTTAAATGTGCAGTGTCAAAGTACAGTGACTCTTTTAGAGTTATTACAACAACAACTGGAGTAAGATATACATTACGTAGACTTCTAATTTAACACTATTTCCAAGTGGGACCAAATGCACTCTTTAAGTTTTACTTTATCACTGCAAAATTGACTGTGTACCCCTCTAAAGTCAGACGTCTGAAGAAATTGGATCACAGTTTTTTTTTTCTCTGCTGAAAGTATAAGCCCCTTTATAAGCGACAACCTGCAATAAGAAGAACAGTTTTAGAAGATGTTTAAGGGAAACTAAGGAAGCCGTGCAAGGCTGTTTTGAGGCTACAGACTGGAATGTACTGTCAGCTTTCTATGGAGAGAACTTGTAATTACTGAGTGTGTGATTGACTACATTAACTTCTGGGTACATAAAATCATTCCCACCACAACAATGAAATGCTTCCCCAATAATACACCCTGAATCAAGAGTGATCTAAAGGAACTGTTAACCAATAAGAAATTAGTCTTTTAGAAAGGGAGACAGTGACTGATAAGGAGTAGGCTATACAGAACCAATTTAAGATTAAATAAAGGAAAGAGGCATACAGAGAGTGTCCGTAAAGCAAGTGGCAGCAGGACAATATTGGAGATGTTTGGTCAGGAATGAAGAAGACCACAGGCTTCAAGCAGAAAGAGGATCAACCTCAGCATTTTTCTCTCCTGCCCCTGTCAGACATCCCATCCTCCTTTGACCCAAAGGTTTTCTGTCATACAAAGGTTACATCTAACTCTGCCATGAGTCCCCCTGCTTATAATTTTAAAAAAGTATCTTAATATTATGACTTAGTAACCTCATTATTAAAAGATTGTAATTCATTATTATGAGATGCTGACTCATGATTATTAGCTATCTCATAATTATAAGATATGAGATTTTTTATTTTTTTATTAGAGTAACGGAAATCTATGTAATCAGAAAAAAAAATGAGAAAAGAAGTTCTTCTGAGAAAGGCATTTCTCATTTCGGTGATACGCAAGTGGATAAGGGCAACTGAAGTGTACTGATTTTTAAATTGTATTTCAGCAATATGGGGGAAAAAAGTCAGAATTCTGACTTTAATCTCAGACTTCTGATTTTTTTCACAGAATTCTGACTTTAATTTCAGAATTTTGATTTTTTTTTTTTTTTCTCAGAATTCTGAATTTAATCTCAGAATTCTGACTTTTTTTCCTCAGAATTCTGACTTTAATCGCAGGATTCTTACTTCAATCTCAGAATTCTGACTTTAATCCAAGAATTCTGACTTTAATCTCAGAATTCTGACTTT